ACATGTAAGAAGCTTTGATGAAGGTGTCAGCTGGCGAATGAAGGTACTTTTTTCAGTTTCAAGTGCCTTATCTTATAGGCTGTATATACAGGTTTGCTTGAGCAAATTTTCAAAGCATTAGGCTGTTGAATTTCTGATTTGGTTGCACTTACATCCCTTAATATCTCTTTTAGCTGATTCAGTGATGTTTCTATATTCCTTGCAACTAGGCCAAAGTTTTTAGCCCATGTCTTCTGTGACATGCTGATGGGGCCTAAAAAATCATATGCTTAAACATGGCATCAATATTTATGTTCCAAAGAATTGGTCCTTGTGAAACTCAAGTGTATCTAAATCTAACCCACCCGGAAAATACACTGATTAGACAGCAAACACATAGCGATGATTAAACATACCAAGGAAAGGGACTTGGCGGGGAATTGAATCCCACACCACATACAGCAACGAATGTGGAACAGATGTAGCGCAGCCTGCTGGCTGCAGTTCTGGTTATCATGCCTTGAAAATGAGTTTTACGTTTCCTTGTGTACACTAGACCAGGATTCATGCCATCTGCAATGTCAGTCTTGAGGCTGCAGATTCTCTTGCAGTTGGGAAATGCCACATGACAGTTCTCTGCTGATGGGCCATAACATGTCCCAACTCTCACCTAGCCATTAAAGCAGTATGCGACATTGGTTCATACTGTTGTGAGACTGTCTGGTCTATATCCAGTGTCTCTAGTGGAGCACAGAGAAAACGTTCTTGTGTACGCGAATGACTCATTAATCTCTGAGGTATTAGTTATCGTACGTGGTAAACACTTGGTAGCCAACGTGTGGAATTAATCAATCAATCTGTTAGCCTATTGTTGTTTTTAGTCTTGTAATAGTAAGGGGATTTAGACCACGGAGCAGAATTCTAGTTTTTTTTTTTTTTTTTAATTTTTTAAGAAAAAAATTATTTTCTTGGTTTAGAGAATTTTAAAACTATGTGGTGTTGAAACAAAAATACGGATGGGGGGCAGCATATTATTCTTATTTATGGCTGATTAAAAAAGTAAATTGAGGAAACTAATAAAAGGTTAAGATCAAAGGATGTGTTTGGGGTTCTGTTGCAGATTAAGACTCTTGGGCTGACCCCATCCATATGCCTCGTATGCCTACAAGGTCGAAAATAGGGGTTTTTGGAAGCTGGGATACCTAATTAAATTTATTTGACAAAAAATATATATTAAAAAATATTTTTTAAAAAGGTACACTAGCTAGATACAAAGACATAAATGCCCATTTTAAGAAAAGTGGTTCATTATCTCATAATTTTATGAGAGAGAACTTTAATATTTAATGCATATTGATTAATGTGTATTTGTTAATATATATATACAAATAATATATATATAAATACGTATAAATCAATTATATATAAATACGTATATATATATTTATATTTTATATATGTATGTATTTATATACGTATATTGTATTTATATACATATATATAAGTATATATATATAAAAGTACATATACAAGTATGTATATACGTGTAAAATGTAACATTGAAAGTGTAAAATGTAAAGTATTACCTTATGTCTCACCTTACTTAATAGTAATTGTAAAATGTTACATATTAACATTGAAAGTACTTTTACACTTTCTCAATTAATTAGCATTTTTAGTGTAAGATGAGACATGTATATTCTGTTTGTATATAACACTTTAGGTAATGTCTTCCTTACGTTGTGTAAATAGCTTGTTACATTGTTATTGTTATACTGTTATTGTTACTTTCAATATTACCCTATAACACTTTACACTTTCCATTAAGAAATGTGAGGCATAAGATAATAAGATAATACTTTACACTTTATACATTTAATGTTACACTTTACACTTTCAAAAATATTACACTTTACATTTTCAATGTTACACTTTACACGTATATATATATATATATAACAAATACACATGAATTAAGGTGCATTAAATACTAAATTCTCCTATAAAATTAGGAGATATTTAATGCACCACTTTCAAAGAACACACACATAGATCAATGGAGGACAAAAATGTCACAAAAAAATTAGGCAAATTCAAATTGTGTATTTAGATACAAATAAGTATCAAAATTAATGACTTAATAACCTTACATTTTTTAGTGTGTATTTTTTTGCCAAATAATTAATATATACCCTTTACAATTTACCCTCGAAAATAAGGAAAGCATTGGTCCACAATTACCAATTACTAGTATTCTTGGCCGATACTCTAATTTTAATTCTGAATTTACTGTATGTATTTACGGATTTAGATTTGGTTATCATTATTCGATTCGAGGTTGATCTAATTTGAAAAATATATACATAAAATATGTAATGAATTTATGAAATTTTGTTGACATTTAATTGTAATTTATTAAAATCCAGCTTGATTGACTAATTCGAATTGGATTGGAGTATATTTTCTATTAAATTTAGATTATGTTGGATATTCAGATTGAACAAATCTGTCTGAGGGGCATACTTGTCACACAATGAAGTGAGATAACTGATAACGCCAGCACCACCATCCCACATAAACTTTCTAGTTCAACTTCTCTCCTTACCAGAAATACTACACACCCCATCAGTCTACCCTAATTATCCTCAAAAGCCAGAAAACCTAACCCTTAGCCCTAAAACCACAACCCCATCCTCCTGCCTATAAGCAGTGTCAGCTTTATATCTGGTATCAGTAAGACTATGCACTAAATGATCCACAATTTTATTCATCGGATGTTTAGTTAAAGTCGAAGGAATGCATAAATCTAACTGGTTTGGTTAAAAAAAAATTGACAGTAAATTGTTATGTATAGAATTCCTCATTTGGTATTCTCAATGATTCCTTATAGGTTAGATTGCATCAAATGTATAAGATGTGGCAGTTCCCTACTGGTTTTGTGGCCAGCTCATTTCCTTCCAATTAACGAATAAAACAAGTACATAAATTAGCACATTCTCTTTGTGAATCGATGATTTCCTCCAGTCATAGCTGCTCCAACAAAGAGTGACAGCATTTCAACCATGCACAGCATTGTCCACAAAGAAGTTCAGTCGAATTCACTAGCACCGCAATATACTCAATAAACATAGAAGATCGATGAAAATGTCATGGGAGCAAAAAAATGGTCAAAAACCGATTTATCATATGCACACTCGGGAGGACACATTCGTCGCCCAACAGCACACGTAACACCAATCAAATCCAGGCAGAGATGATGTATAACTTGATTCATGACCAAAAGGCAGCTGCTAATATTCTTCTAGGATTCTGGTAATTAATGCCAACGCAATCTACTTCAAGCCCAACAACTCCTTCACTCTCTCTTTTCCACTGCAAGCAGAAATGCAGTCAAGTTATTAGTAACCCATCAACAATAATATGATTATCTCTGGATTTCATCTACCTAGACATAATCATTTGCAATCGACTTGATAAGATAAGACCATGGATTTTGAAACTCTTTAGCACTAAGAAAATAATAATTTGAACCTTCCTTTTTTTTTTCCTCCAAATGTTGTTACAGTTATTCTGAACTCAGCTAGTGGTATTACCAAGTTGCACAAAAGCGAAGTGGAGAGGAGGGGGGAGTATACCAAACAACAACAAACCATGCAATCATATCGTTCTTCACTATCTCATTTCTAGTTTCTCTTCCCAAAGCATTTCCACTGATGATGACCACGCTGCTCTTAATCACTAGTGCACCTATTGATCTTCGTTGTACATACTCAAACCATCATAGCCGATGCTCTCAATTTCTCTTTAATGGTAATACTATTCCATTCTCACAAATGCATTCATTACTCTTACCACACAGCTATCTGAATAGTGTCATTTCACCTACACTTACTTTATTAACATTTTTTCTTAGTTCTAGCCTTTTGCCCCATAAAGCATAGCTACCTTTATAGTTCCGTAAAACTGTAATTTTAGATTCATTTGTATCTGCCACACAATATACCAAAAGCACTTGTCCACTTGAGCCAATCTACTATTGTTCTACAAACTAAATCATCTGCAGTCTCTCCTTAATCCAACCTGGATAATGAAACATATCTCTGGGTTTTTAATTTTTCTCTACCCCTCCATTGATTTTTCTGCTCTTCCAAACCCCACAAACACACACACACACACATTTTACCCCATTTTAGTTCTACTTATTGTAAACCCTCATGGTGCTAGTGTTATCTCCAAATCCTAAATCTAGAGTCAAGAATTGAAGTTTCGTATCGGTCCATAGTTTCAATTAGCATAGTAAATTAGTGAACTTTACGCTTTTTAGAAAGGAAAAAATTGTAATTTTGATTCGGAGTCATTTTCAAACTCCGAAAACATTAAAATGTTGATTTTGTATCACTAATTCTTTTAGATTATTCACTGAAAGAACATATTTTGGTTGCTTCGGTGCAAATCATAGTTATCATATGGCGTATCGTTTTTTAAAAATAGTGGATCGTATCGTATCGTGTATCGTAAAATACGCACAAGTTTAATTTTTACATAATTATTAATAATATATATATATATACACCTTTGTAAAAAAGTCATAAACTCATAATAACATAGTATGTCATTAATATTCCACCAACTATTCAAGTTCCCAATAGTTCATTAATATCAAAATGCAAAGGCCTCTAATTTAAACTTCTAACATCAATTGCTTGAACAACCTTAATATTAATCAGAAATTTTGAATTCAATTGAATAACATTAATAACATTCTTTATTTATTTATTTTTTTAAACCATAACCATTGAAATGACGTTTTATGGGCTAGTGATTTAAAAATAAGTCCTAGGGTAAAATGATGTCATTTCAACCCAAAAAAACTAAAAAATTAAAAAAAAGATTCGTCACGTATCATGTATCGTACGATACGATAAAAAAATAATACAAAGACACGATACGTATCGTTTTTCAAGTGTATCGTGACGTATCGTATGATATGTATCACGTATCATACGATACTAATAACTATGGTTCAAACAAATGAAGTTTGATCCTCGTCTATAGTGTTGTTTTGCGTTTCTGCTTCATCAACTAAAATTATATTATTTGCAAATAGCCCTGAATATGTCTCATGAACTACTTTCTCAAAAAAAAAAAAAAACAAGTGTCTAGTCAATATGTTGGTTACTAAGGGAAAAAGGAAAATTCTTAAAACTAACCATTAAGGGTTCAAAGTATTAGCCAAGTCCAATACTACTTTGTTGAGCCATATCCGACTTTGGTCCTACCGGACGATACTAATACTCATTACATCAAATATACGAGTCATGTGAATCGGTCTTGACACGTATACAACTTGGTGAAATAAGTGAAACTCAAAGTTCGACTCGGACAAACTGGTCACCGAGTTGGCCGATTCATGATGAAATCGCAAAAAACAGCGAAAAAAAACAACAGAGGAGAAATTGAAGAACAACAAAATGAAGGGTGAATTGAAAGCAAACCTATGAAATCAACCCACTGTCAATTTCCACTCTCATTCTCCTCTTCTCTTTCAGTTCTTCTTTCACCATCTCCATCGTGAGTACTTGTTTCGTCGAATTTGCTTGGACCTTCGACTGAATCCCAACCTTTCCTCTCAGATC